GGGTACACTCCACGAGGTTTGACTTTCACGAAGAGTCCCTCACAAGCTACTCTATTTTATGTTTTTCAATTCACCAGGTCTCTCTCTCTCTCCCACTTCTTCCACTTCACGATGCACACACTCTCTCTTCCATTACTCTCTTTCCTATTACTTTATTTCTCTCACTCAGACTTTTTCCAATTCACAAGGCACTCTCTCTCTTCCATTAACACTCTCACGCTCTCTCTCTCTCTCTCTCTCTCTCTCTCTCTCTCTGTGTATTCTCTCTTATGTCTCATAGCTCCTCTGATGAAGATAGTCATTGCACTAGGACTTCGACCGACTTTTGCTGGAAATGATTTCTCCTTCCATATCCCTCTATCAAAAACTATGATGGTGGCGATGTGATGTGATGGCAAAGCGACAACAGTAGTGTTGATTACAGTGAGTCCTCTTTCTCTTCTCCACTTTTAGATTCTCTTTCTTAGATCTATAAAAATGTTTGAATGTTTTTTTTAAAAATTTTTTTGTTTCAATCACATGTTCGAATCATTTTTGGGGGGGGTCTAGTTATACACATTTTGAAGATGTAGATCAATTACGGTTTGAATCACTACCAACCGGTTCGACCACCAAACCCAATGGTTTGATGCGGTCGATTTTGAATAGCAGTTCGGTCGACAATGGTTAAGTAATTTTTGAACCCGATCCATTCGGTTCAAGTGACGGATTGAGGAGAAACCCGACTCGACTCGACCCGTGAACACCCCTAATGAGAACATATTGACTCCAATCAATGGTAGACCAATGTGGCCAACAACTCAATATGGTAAAGTATTACCACCTGATGTGAAGAAGAGAGCTGGGAGGCCAAGACAGAATAAAAAGATAGAAACAGATGTCCCAATTAATGTAACTGATTCAAGTAATTTGGGAAAATGGGAACTCAGATGACGTGCAAGAATTGTGGCAAGTTGGGACATAACAAGAGGACATGCAAAGTCAAAGGCCAATTCACCTACCTGAAAGATCCTGTGAGTTCCAGTCAAGTAATTCATACTTTTTTTATGCATTTTGTTAACTTACACATTACTAACTTTTGTTTTTTAGTTTTTGTAGTCCCAACATGAAGAAAGCCACTGTTAGGCCCAAACTGAAGGGAGCCAAATTCAAAGTCAGGTAAAAGGAAGCCTGGTTGGGAGTCAGGTTACAGAAGCAACTCAAGTTAGGAAAAAGAAGATGGCTGTAAGTTTTGCAAATGCCCTATTTGTTAATTTACAGAGGTCTTCCTTGTATATGTCCTAACAATGATGATGGCTATTGCAGGTAAAAAGGAGAAAGGTTATGAGAACAAGTGACTCAACTCCATTGCATGCAAGTCAGGATGTACAGGGGTCTGTAGTAACTTCTAATACTAACATTCCCCTGCAAGCTCAAATAAGATGGAGAGGAAGAGTAATGTAGAATGCTAACGCAGTCAAATCTGTTGTGGGTCAAACCAAGAATGCAGCTGACATAAAGTAATGGATGTGAAGGACCATTATTGTTTTTTTTTTTTTTTTTTTTTTTTTTTTTTTTTTTTTTTTTTTTAATGTTGGAGAAGGTTTTTGCTACTTTTGTTCATGGAATACAATGTAATCGATGTGAATGTTTTTGCTACTTTTGTTCATATTCCATAACCTTCATAGTGGTAGGGGCTTTTTGTACATTTGAAACCTAGTTTTTGTATTAGTTGCCCATTTTTTAGTATATGTTTTGCACAACATGAATGACAAGTGTGTCAACTGATCAACCTTTGAATGATAATTTACTGTATTTCTGCTATTGTTTCCAAGTCATGATGTTCATTGGTGATGTTCACAATTGTTGATATTCATTGTTTATTGGTGATGTTCATTGTTCATTAAATTTGGAGTGACAATTATGATCGCAGATTGTGTACCTATTTTTGTATGTTTCCTTTGTCTATGTTAGAGTCATCAAGCACAAAATAATCAAGACAACATTAATAAGTCACCAAGCACACAATTTTCATCTCAAAAATATATTTTCTATTAACAACACTTCACCCATTGCATATGATTCATAAACAGGATATAGACTCCATTCATTCTTACACTACCATACAACTTCAAACTTTACAATACAAACCATATTCCTACAACCAACCATGACAAAACCAAGCAAATCCATAGTTTCCTCTCTCTTCCAGTCCTTCTCTTCAATTGTGCTTCCATCTTATTCAACTTCTTCAACAGCCCAGGAATTATTTGCACTGCCCGATCGCACATGGGTAAGTCTATCCAAGTAAAGTGATTGCAACCACTGTTAGGGCAACTAAGAAATCTCCTCCCAGGATTTATGTCAATCCATGCTGTGTGTATCAACCTTCTTCTTCCACAAACATTGCAAAACATCTCGTCTACACCACTTGTGTTCCATCTAACTTGATTTCTTAAGCTTCGATTGTTCCTCATTTCTTCTCTCCCACTGATTTCATTGATGCTCTATTTTTTTCTTCTATTTTTGCAGTCGTCTCTGTTTTTATAAGTTGAAGGGAATAGAAAGGAAGGTTAGGTTTTGGGGGGAAAGCCCTAATTTTCCCTCCATGTGAAAGTATAGGGGGCCACGTCACCCATTCCGTCCACTTCCTTGACGAAAATAGATGGCAGGGGTAAAATTGAAAGGAATTCACATGGTATAGGGGTACACGTGAAAATAAGAGTGGTCTGGGAGGTCTTTGAAAAACGTGACAAAGTATAGGGGTAAAAATGAAATAATCTCGAACAAATATATAAAGCTGCATTTTATTGAATGAATACAACACGGTCCATTTACATCAGTATATATATCAGATACAATGCTAACAACATCCTAAAAGTCTAACTGACTAACCCACTCTCTCACTCACTAACTAATTCTGTTATGAGTTATAATCTCATGTTACTCCGCACACCATAGCCTGAGCCAGTACTCTACTCTTGTGCACTTGATCATCGACTATTGGATGACATTCTCTATCAAACTTTAATACTAATTTAAATGCACAATGAAATAAAATATTTTTTTAAGATAAAATAGAGATTTATGATTTTTATGAAATAAATTCTGAACTAGATAGGATCTTTACTAATTTAAAATACTTACGGGCTTATATTTTATTTTTGTAATTGTTTTAAGCACTAAATATGTTTGAAGATCTTTTACTAATTTAAAATACTTATGGGTTTATATTTTATTTTTATAATTGTTTTAAGCACTAAATATGTTTGAATTAAATATTTTAGGGACTTAAACTTAATAGATTTAATCAATAGTTTAGGGACTAAATAATTTTGATTTATATATTTTAAGGACTTAGTAAATTCCACTAATAGTTGAGGGACTAAGTAGACAATTTGATGCTAGTTTAGAGGTAGAAAGTATAATATACACTTTTAAAAATTAATAGATTGAATAATCAAAGTAGATCTCATAATAAATTGATGGGCTGTGATTGAGGCCCCCTCGATCACCAACCCCCACCACCTCCACACACACGGCACGGGTGGTGATTGGAGGAGAAAAAAAAAAAAAAAAAAATTGGTCAATCAGGAAAGAGAGGGGGTCAAAGGGGGTGGAGGGAAAGGGGGTCTTGATCATTTTTCTAAACTGATAATATAACCCAAGCTAGACAGTTAAAATGCGAGTGTCTACAGCAGGAGCAGAGGCAATGTTTGCCCAGGGGAGCACGTGCCCCCCTCAAGTTTTGATAATTATATTGGTACCCCTATATATATATAGATTATATCATATATATGTTCTATAAAATTATAATAATATCCCTTCTTCAAATTATAATAGTCCTTCTATTATAATTTTTTTTTTTAATTATAATGAACCTACTAAAATAAGTCTTTCTATTATACACCTCCAAAAGGGGTGTACCATATATTAGTTATTACTTTATTTTCATTCATAACTAAAATAACTACTATATAAATTATAACTAAACAAACACATCTTCAATTATAACACACACACACACACAAAAAAGCAAAACAATTTACAATAAGTCATAACTAATATCAGAATGAGTCATTACGAATCATTATTTGATGTATAATCAAAGACCTCTTTAATCATAACCAAAATAACAACCACAAGAAGTTACAACTAAGTTATATCCAACACTATAATGTGTCATAACTAAAGACCATAAAGATCGTAACTGCAACATATGATAGAAATTTTTTTTGCAATGTATTTTATAGAATTTTTCTACTAAAATATATCATTTCTATCTCAACTTATCTTCTTCTTTTTTAATTTTTCAATCCACCTAAAATAGTTACTCCACAATACTAGAATAAAATTTAATCTCAAATTCTTTAATTTAAAATTCACATCTATCCTAATAAACTCTTAATATTTACGTTTAGTAATATCTCATTGTTGTTTATTATGAGGAAACAAACAAAATCAATAATGTCATTAATTTGTGTCCCTTTTCACTGAATTCCTGACTCTGCCATTGGTCTACAGCCATCAAAGGTAGTCTTCAAAATTTTATTTTTGGGCAATAATTTAGCGAATGACCTAAGTATTATAATTGATCTAAATGAAATATTTACAACCATTGATTTTGATTCCCTCTACGAAGAACATAATAATTTAACTCTTTTTTTTTATATAATTAACATGACCTAAAAATTAAAGAAAAATAGATAATTAAAATGGAACCCTATATGGTAAGCCATGACAGGACTCAAATTAGATAGTTCAATTGAATAGAAGTTGTACTTGATAGAATTTTCCCTAGTTTGGCCAATATGTCAAATGACAGTTGAGATTACACATTAAAACTTGGCCACCACCCAAATCTTCCCACTCATTCTTCCAAATAATCCTAATAAAAACTGTCTTCCTTTCCTTTCCTTTCCTTCACAACACCCTTTCTTCTTCTCCTTCTTCTTCATCATCTCCGATGGTAGAAGAATAATTATATTCTGCGAAAAGAAAGAAAAAAAGAAAAACCGACCATGTCGATAGCCAATTCGACAAAGCCTGAATTACCATTCCCATGGGTTGTTTGGGGTCTTTCTCATCGCTGCCAATATTTTGCTACTGCATTGATTTCGAAAGGTTTATTTAGGAAGAATGAGCTAATATTGTCCTATCCTATTCCATTGCTTCTTTTGCAGCTAGGGCTTGCAATCATCCTATCTGCAACGATGAGATACTTTTTGAAGCCTCTCAAACAACCTAGATTTGTTGCAGATATGTTGGTAAGCTCAAGCTGTATAATTTATTTAAAATTTGCTTTTTTTCTTTCTTTTAAATTTGGTTTTGTTGTTTATTGAGTGATGTTATACGAAAAATCAGATTTCTCATAAGATTTTCTTACCACTGCACGCAAAGGTGGCAAGGGTAGAAATTAATAAATATGCACCTCAGATATCCATACTTTTGTGTCTGGGTTGTACAAAACTTAGGTAAGAAATCCATTTTTATATATAACGTTATTCTTTATTGAGTTATGTTATACGTAATCTCATTTCAATTGTGTTTAGAAATGAAAAATATGATAAGAATTGAAATTATATGAAATATTTTTTTTTTTATTTGTTGCATGCACAAAACACAACTTGAACGTTTTGGTTTATTGGGAGATCAAAGCATATGAGTAACTTAAATAATTCAATTAAGCCCCTTCCAATTGAGCCAAACATGTAACATGAATATAAGCACACAGTGATATTTATTTCTAGTATTGTATGTACATTAATTACAGAAAAGATAAAAATTTCAAAAAATTATTGCATGGTCCATATATTTAAATCATGTATTGAGAACCATAAGAAAACAGTCCAAAAATTTACCCAGAATGTTATTGGATAAAAAAAATAAAAATCAAGCTGCTCGAGCTCGACTTCTTAAAAACTCATCTGAAATCAACTTATTATGTAAACAAATGAAGTTTGAATATAATTTTAAACTCGTTAAGTTATTAAATCAAACTTAAATAATGAATTTTTAAGTTTGACACAACACGCTTTCAACCTTGTGTATCAGTGTAATTTACCCATATATATATTTATGTGGATGAATTATGTACACTTAGCTAGCATTATTTGTATAATTAATTAATGAGTTCCCTTTTGGGTTTTTTTTTGGCGGGAGGATCAGACTGGGATACTATTAGGGCCATCAATGTTCAAATTGGTTGGCTTGGGAGAGTTATATGAAAGCTCGCAGACCATCAACCAGTCAACGCTAATGGGCTTCTTGGAGCTCTTCAGCCTCACCACCTTCTCTTTCATCGTCGGCGTTCGAACCGACGTCAGTGTGATCAAGTCATCCGGCAAATTATCCTGGATGATCGGTGTCATTAGCTTCCTGACTCCATTGGCACTCTGTTACGGTGCCATGAACATCATGAACAATGATCCCGACATGAACCAACACTGGATTGCCACCCTCACCTCCTCCACCTCATTCCAAGTCACCTCCCTCCTCCTCGAAGATATCAAACTCCTCAACTCTGAGATAGGTCGCCTCGCCATGTCCTCTTCCTTAATCAGCTCATGCAGCAGTTGGACTTTTCAGATGGCCAAATCTTTCCTCTTCCAAGCCTCCGCGTTTCAGTACACTAGCAATACATACTTAAAATCGGAGGCTTGTAGATTACTCTTGATAATAACCATAGTTTTTGTGCTTCGGCCCTTCACGTTCAGGATGATGAAGAAAATCCCGGAAGGCGGGAGCATGAAAGAATCGCAATTCACTGTCATTTTTATGATGTATTTGATGACTTGTTTCACATTCGAGTATTTGGGATACAAAGCATACTTCGGGGCGATGATACTGGGGCTGGCGATGCCACCAGGACCACCACTGGGATCAGGGTTGTTGGAGAAACTGGAGATATTAATATCGACCGTGTTGTTGCCTGCGTATATATTGGATGCAGGTCGGTATGTGGATGTGTATACTATCAATATGGCAGCATTTGGTCGGACAGAGGTACTGATAGTGGCAAGTTTCTTGGGGAAACTTGTTGCCTCAGTGGTGCCATTGGTGATTTACAAGTTGCCTTACAAAGATTCTTTCACTCTTGGCCTTATCTTGAGCTCCCAAGGCTTATTTGATATTGTCTTTTACAAACTCTTCCTGCGCTTTGCGGTAATTATTATTATTATTATACAATGAGTAAGTCTAGGTGCACTGAAAGAATGAAACCACATAATGAACAGATATGAAATACAAATGTTTGCAACTATAGAACTGAACAAGTTCGCAACTACAGATGCGATTTTTTTTGTTTTTTGTCTCACGTCTATGCATTTTATGTGTGGTTTTTTTATGCACATAGCACAACTGATATACTATTACATACTCACCACCCAAAAGGAAAGAAAAAAAACAAACAAACAAAAGTATTCATTTTGATGCTGATATTTTAATTGTTTCAATTTGATTCATAACCTATTTAATTTGTATTGAAATGGTCCTAGTATTGTTTTGACAAAAATTAAAACGACTATGTGAACAAATTTAAACACAAATTGGAGATAAAATATTAATGCAATTCTTCTTATTTTGATCTTTTGACAACATGTTCATGGTGATGCAGTTAATCAACATAGACATTTACTCAATCATAACGATCATGACAGTACTGAATGCAGCCATTGTTACTCCTCTGATTTGCCATCTCTACGATCCTTCGAAACGATACATGAATTATAAGAGAAGAACAATCCAACAATCCATCCATGAAAGCGAGCTTCGAATCATCCTCTGCATCCACGAAGAAGATCAAGTTTTCAGCCTAATGAACCTCCTCAATGCCTCCAACCCGACCCGCGAACGACCCATCAGTGCATTTGTCCTTGACCTCATGGAACTGGTCGGCCGTGACCACCCCGTGCTCATCAACCACCAGCTTCATAAGCCCCGGTCGTCATCGTCCCACACCAGAACAGACCGGATCATCAATGCTTTCCACCACCACGAGATAAGTGGTGAAGGGACAATAAAACATCATCACTTCACCTCCATAACGCCTTACACTACGATGCATGACGATATCTGTACACTTGCCTTGGAAAAGAGCGCATCCTTATTAATCATCCCATTTCACAAGTCAGAGAGCACTGCAGTGAGGGAGGTGACCAAAAATGTTCTTGAAAACGCTCCTTGCTCGGTTGGGCTCCTCATCGACAAGAGGATCATTATGAACTGGAGGTTAGACACACATAGCAAGATCAAGTTCCACGTTTGTGTAATCTTTGCGGGAGGGCCAGACTCCCGGGAAGCACTAGCCTATGGCATAAGGATGGTAGAAGACCAGGCGATCAGGCTTACTGTCATTCGATTAATTGCAGAAGACGAGTTTATTAGCGATTTGATGGAAGCTAAGCTTGATTTGAAGGTGATAAATGAGTTGAGGAACATGTATGGAGAGAACCAAGATATCGAATACAGGGAAGTGATTGTGAAAGACGGAGCTGAGACATCCCAGGTGCTTTTGGCAATCGACAACCATTATGATTTCATGTTGGTGGGGAGAAGGCTTGACAGTGATTCCCCGCTGGTAACCGGACTTACCGATTGGAGCTATCTCCAAGAACTGGGGATTATAGGAGACATACTTGCATCTTCTGATATGAAGGTCAATGCGTCAATACTGGTATTACAGCAGCAATCTACTGTGGAAGATTTCATGCAGAAATCATAACAAAACACATAAAAGTGTTTGGAATGTAGGAAAACAATATCATCATATCAACCCTCGCTAGATTCATAATGCTCTATACACACAAATAGAATTCTTATTTAGAATTCAGTTATCACTGTCGTTCATAATTGAAAGGGAAAAGAATGCGTGCATTGTATTGTCTTTGTACGAGTTGTTTGTATAAGAACTTCGTATATTTAGCGTTTTTATTTCACCACCCAGAAGAATTTCACTAAAACATCCGACAATCATGGCGGAGCAACAAAACCATAACCATTTACCATTTTGCCTTCTTTATTCAATTGTGTGTAATAAGGATTATAAAGCTCTGAACATTCAATTCAACCATTTAACAATGTTGTCACATTTTAACAAAATAATACCGTATCCGAGAACTACAATAAATGCCCCCATCATTAGGCCTTTAACCCTCTACGCTCCGGTTCTGTAAAAATTCTTTATAAATCTAAATGTACAGTAAAAATTACAAGACACCTTGGCATACATTCTTAAAATAAAGAAGTTAGGCCATTCTTGAAATAAGAAGTTAGGAGTAGTAATAAAGTGAACGAAATAGAATAGTGTAATCTAGATGATTTCAACCATCCAAATTAGCCTCCCATACTATTTCTGTAAGAATAGAATTTTCAGATATAATTTTGCCTGGTCAATAAGTCAGTTGCTAGCTTAGATAACACTATATATTTTGATAATCTTTCAAAGAACAAAGGCGACAATAATTTGGACAGAAAATACTCAGAAAATTCTTCCGAGAAGAGAAATATACATGTAGCACACCAACCTATTATTCGTAGGCAAACCAAAAGCAAAGAAATAACAAGAAAAACAAAATAATAATAACAGTATTAACAGTGGTCTCTAAATCAAAGCCACGAAATAAGGAAATTACAAAATTTTCAATTCCCTAAAAGCTAGAATCAAGGTATTTGGTCTAGCTGCAATAATCTGGTGTACCTCTCGCAAAAGGGTGTGAACTCATATCTCTGATCGGCTAGCATACTCTTGAACCAATGCCCCAAACAACGAAGGCCTCTCGAGCAACTGAGATGGGGCTTCATATTCCCTTGCCCATCCTGTACCGACAAAACAAAGCCACGACACAAAAATATTTGACATAGAATGAGCAGATCGAACATTAAAAACATACCATTTGCCTAATTGTTATATATATGTCATGTTCCGCTAATCTGCAATAGGATATTTTGGGCCTATTTGGTTCTGTTTCGTTTTTTTGTATTCAAAAACAAAACAATAAAAGGAAAACACCCATTTTTTTCATAACATTATCATTTTTGTGCAAAAAACTGTTTTCAAAAGAAGAGAGAAAATAATTCCAATTTCCCACACTCAATATATTGAAACAGACAATATCATAAAGAGAATTTCAAGTCAAAAGCCATTAATCATGTCCAGAAAAGCTCAATCAACCTGTAAATATGCTTACAATTAAGATGGGTCGCTACTTCACTGACTTTTGGAGAGAAGCCACCAAAGTCTACACATCGGGAGTTTTGTAAAATATTTTTAACAACATTTTGTTGCTTTTTTTTTTTTTTTTTTTTTGGTCTTTACTAAAAAAATTTGCAATTTTTTTTAGTTTTTTGGACCTACTTGACTAGAGGGCCCGTGAAAATAAATAAGGGTGCCCATGAATTCTACATGTTTTTTGGTTAAGCTTTTGAAATGATGTAGCAGTAATGGCTATAGAGAGTGAAACACATACCAGCATCCATAACCATCACTTTGTCACAGTCCATAACTGTGGGTATTCTGTGAGCTATGCTGATTATTGTACACGACACAAAGTCCTCGCGAATGATTTTCTGAATGACAGCATCGGTCTGGGAGTCGACAGAAGCCGTTGCTTCGTCCATAAACAGAATCTTGCTGTGTTTCAGCATAACTCTCCCCAAGCACAGAAGCTGTCTCTGTCCCACACTCCAATTGTCTCCGCCATCAACCACTGATACAAGTAAATTATTCACAATTGTTGGGCACTTCAATTGTAAAGTTACTGATGTAGCAAAACATAAAAAATTGGAAGCCTTTAAATGCACGTCAAAATTTATGTTCGGACGCCCATTTTTTTGAATGCACAATTTCTAAATTTAAATTTTATTGTTCTTTGAACACCTCAATCAATTCCAACCCTAACACTCCTTCAGTGCCATCTCTACAAACACCCTACCATCATTGGCAAACACCCAGCCCCCATTCCCTCCCCCTTCCTACCTCTCGAACCCTAACCCTAAACCCCACCCCAGCCACCACCCCCTCCATCTCCGGAAGCCGCTGCCCCTTCCCCCTCCCTCCCTCCCTCCCTCTTTCTTAAACCCTAATCCTAAACCTCACCAACACCAACTCAGGCCTCAAGCAGAAAGAGAGGGAAGGAGAGGGGTGGGGTGTTGGGGAGGGAAAATGAGGGGTTAGACGCTACGGGGGGAGCTGGGGAGGAAAGAGGTTGGGGGTGGTGGTCAGAGATGGAGAGGGAGCTGAGGTGTTGATAGTATCGGCCAAAGTTGAAGAAGCTGGTGGCAGGAAGTGTATGTAAGGTTTTAGGTTTTCCCTTTTTGGGTAAGTTGATTTAGCAGTATAATGGTATTGAAAATAATTATGAAATGTGGAGTGTCCAACCATATTTTTCATTAACATTTAGAGGCACTCAAAATTTCATTGCAGTGAATGAGAATTTCAAAAACTGACAATCCAGAGAGAGAGAGAGAGAGAGAGACCTGATGCATTGAGTTTTTCAGGCTTTGCAGCCACAACATCTTTCAATTGGCAACGTTCAAGACTCTAAAAGAATAGAACAATTTGTCAGCATATTCAAAAAAAAAAGTTCAATACTACGGTGTGCTACAATTTATGCACATAATGTACAAATGAGAATCCGATCAAACAGTTGGAATCAAATGTTTACCTTCCATATTTCCGAATCTGAATACAGCCCAATGGGATCAATATTGCTTCTAACCGTTCCTTCGAAAAGCACAGGGTCCTGAGGGATGATCCCAAACTGAGACCTAAGATCATGAAGGCCCAACTTGCAAATGTCAACCCCATCAATTATGATTTTCCCTCCCGAAGGCTCTACTAGTCTAAAGAAAACTTGGATCAGAGTTGACTTTCCACTTCCCGTTCGCCCAACAATGCCAACCTTCTCTCCTCCATGAATGTTCAGAGTAATGCCTTTGATAACTAGTGGAGTATTTGGTCGATATCTAACCTGCTCAATGCAACAACAATTCCCTCTAATTCAGAGAAGATAAAAACAACTTCAAATCAAGCAACAAATGAAGATGATGTTAGGAATTGCAAGACTCCTAACTAGGATCAATGAGACACATAAAACAGAGAAGAATAAATAAATAAGAACTGTAATTAGCCCAAAACTAGGGCTACGTCTGTGATCACTATGTTCCACTGTGATTAGAAAGAATTATGAGTGAGATGTGGAAATAGCCGCTCTCCTCAACCACATTTACATATAACTAGAGCTAGAGATGGCAATAATGCGGAATAATTATAAGGAAAAGAAAACAAATGAGAAAAAGTTGACAAATCACAAGTCTAAGATCAATCTATTTGTATCAGTTTTCAGCTAGAGGCATACCCTGTCATTTTTTTCATTAGAAAGTTTCAACATAAAAGAAAGCACTTCCAAAACTTCTTTGTTCTTGTTTTCTCAAATCAATAATAAAAAATAAAAGATAAAACATAACCCCTTGGCACTTTAATATAAGAAATATCATTACAGACTTTAAGTAAATTACCTGCAAGTTCTTTATCTCAATGTCACCACGGGTCGGCCAGTTTGGATACGGAAGACAATCAGGTATCCTCCAAGCAGCTTCTGATGGGATTCTTATAAACTGCTTAATTCTCTCAACTGAAACCATTTTGTTCTCCACGTTGCAACTCATATAGACCGTAAAAAACAACATAACGTTCAGGGAAAGGCCATAGGAAAGAGACAAGCCGACATACTCTGTGGCATACAATAAGGCATTAGTCAGGTTGTCAACTCCAATATTTTATAACAATAAGCTTTGTTGCATGAACTCTTATAAATGTGCAAAAGAGAAAAAAAAACGTGTCAAACACGAAACATCAGTAAGGTTATGTGATATGTGTCCGACATGTGTATTATGCATAAATGTCCGATATGTGTCCATTTCAGAATGTTATTAGTTAAGCGTGTTTTAATGATTTTGAATTTGGGGCAATTTACTACCTGGATTGACAACACTGCTTGGCAACAAGACCATAATCATGGTAGAAATGCAAAGGAAAAAGCTCCCAATCAGTTCCAAGCGGAATCCGAACCATTCATTTGACGCATTGTTGTGGAAATCCATGCGTAAATTTGCATTGACCCTGTCAACATTTCCCTGAAAAAACCTTTTCTGCTTCCTGAAGCACCGGATTGTCATAACACCAGAGACGGTTTCCGAGAAGTGATGTATGACCGGGGCTTTAGTAATTGCATCAAGCCGGGTTAATTCCCGAGATGTTACAAGGTAGAATCCCTGCACAAAAAACCAAAAAAAAAAAAAAACTCAATAAAGTACATGCAGTTCTTAGTACAAACTTTCTGCAAACAAATCTTTTTTTTTTTTTAACCATAAAACACAAGTAATAACAAGAGACAAATATATGTATATGAAGTGAATAGTTATCATACCCGATACCAAATATTCACCCAAATCAGCGGAATAACAAGGAATACTACTGGCCAGGCATTCATACATGTAATAACCACAATGGTAATCAAATTGAAGTACATCACTAGTGTCATACTCAAAAAAAAGGGAAGCATAAAGTCAACAGCAGCTTGATCAGTTGATGCCTGAAAAACATAATGTTCATTAGTGAAAGCATGAAGCAACTTTGCTCTTTCTCATTCATGTTGTTGATAGAATGTAATAATCATGAGATACTGGGACTGTTTGGTGCAGCTTATATAACTTATAGTTTAAATAAGTTGAAAAAATTGATTATCTAGAAGTTGGAGAAGGGTTTTTTTTTTTTTTTTAACTTATGCTTTTAAGAAAAGTTGCAACAAACATGCCCATTAATGAGGCACAACACACCAAAAGTAACGTAAAATAGTAAGAAAGGGTGGTAAAACACACTCGACTTAGAATTCTTCCTGATGGAGTAGTATCAAAGAATGACATTGGAGCGTGCAACACGCTACGAAGAATTTGACTGAAGAATTGCTGAGCTGTTTTGAGACCGAGTATTGCAACAATGAATGCCCTTATTATCACCAACACGCATGCCGTTGCAGCTAGGATTGAGTAGACGAGCATAAACAAAGAAGGTTTAAAAATGGTTTGATCTGACGTCTCGTATGCGAGCCAATAATCGCTTCCCATAAGTGAGCTTTGCCAGGCTACAGAGACCGTTATCACAGCTGCCACTCCCCACCATCCATATGCCTCAGTGCAATACTGCTTGTACACGTCTCCGCTGACACTGCCAGTTTCTCTCTCCTCATCTTCAATGAGTTTTGAGGTACCCTTTTCAGACTTGGATTTGTCAAGAGACTTGCTTTTGCCATTGGATTCACCTCGGGTTAAAGGGGTATGGGGTGACTTCGGCGCTTGTAGGTTGTCAGTTGATATGGGAGTGCTCATTTCCACAAGATCCATGGAGGTTTCATATGCAGCTACAAGTGCACCGAAATCCAAGCCAGATTCAAGAAGCTCTTGATACCTCCCGGATTGCACGATCATCCCATCTCGCATGACCTGTTGATTAGCTATTAAGAATTTATGTGAAGAAACTAATTGAAGAACATAATATATTCTTTCAATAATTCCAAAACACTTTTCACTGAATTTTAAACTTTTTTTTTTTTTTACTTTTTCATCATTTCTAAAACAGTTTTTACATAAATCCCAATATTAAACAATGCCTCAGGAGCACTTGTTAACATTTCCTAAAAATTATCATACACAAGAATAAAGGATATGATGTTTAGAGTAATACAAGTCTACAATAGATCACTTCAAATCACTTGTGAAATCTCTAATTACAAAGAATTTATACACTCCATAAGATGGAAACCAAGTTTACTATAAAATTCATGGATACCAACGAAAAAGAGAATGATACTTACATATATATGGTTAGCTTTATGCAAGAAATCAACTTGGTGTGTCACAAGTAAAACAGTCTTATCTTTGAGAGCTCCCCTCACACATTCCTGCAACAATTTATAGAAGTTATAGTCCTTCAATTTTTCAAAACATAAAAGGACCATTTATCTGTTAGGTTGTTTAACAGTAAACAAATTTATATACAACTTCATCACAGTCCAGTATTGATTTAGTATTGACTCAAAGATTGATGGCCTAGGAAGCAGAGACATGGTGTGGTGTCCCATGTCCAACATGTGTATTCACGTGTCGGACACAGGCCTATCTTTGGACACACCTCAGGACAATTTTGTGGTTTTTTTTTACAATCCTAGAAAGCCTAATTGGGGTCAAAGTAAAATATATGGACGTAAAAAACAAATTTTAAAAAAGGGAGAAAGTGGGAAAATTAAAAAGATACCCCTACACACATCAATCTCTCTCTCTCTCTCTCTCTCTCTCTCTCACACACATATTGTTACATGGTCTTGGATAAAACTCACCCCAAAAGCTAGCTCTTAAGGTGAGGGTACCCTCACGCTTATATGCTTAATATTACTTTAGTACTCAGGCGATGTGGGACTTCGCTTCACACCCTCCATCATGCCCAGCGTGCTCACTCGGCAGCACTGTGGCGTGTAGGGCAGGGACACGCACCCTACCCATCCTTGAGTACTCTGGCTCTGATACCATGTTACATGGTCTTGGGTAGAACTCACCCCAAAAGCTAGTTATTAAGGTAAGGGTGCCCTCACGCTTATATGCTTAATATTAGTTTAGTACTCAGGCAATGTGAGACTTCGCTTCACACCCTCCCTCATGCCCAGCGTGCTCACTCGGCAGCACCTACAGCGTGTAGGGCAGGGACACGCACCCTACCTATCCTTGAGTACTCTAGCTCTAATACCATGTTACATGGTCTTGGGTAGAACTCACCCCAAAAGCTATCTATTAAGGTGAGGGTGCTCTCACGCTTATATGCTTAATATTATTTTAGTACTCAGGCGATGTGGGACTTCGCTTCACACCCTCCCTCATGCCCAGCGTGCTCACTCGACAGCACCTGCGGCGTGTAGGACAAGGACACACACCCTACCCATCCTTAAGTACTCTGGCTCTGATACCATGTTAACTCACCCCAAAAGCTATCTATTAAGGTGAGGGTGCCCTCATGTTTATATGCTTAATATTACTTTAGTACTCAGGCGATGTGGGACTTCACTTCACACCCTCCCTCGCGTCCAGCGTGCTCACTCGGCAGCACCTACGGCGTGTAGGACAGGGACACGCACCCTACCCATCCTTGAGTACTCTGGCTCTGATACCATGTTAAGTCACCAATTTTTCCAAAAGCCTAAACTGTTAGGAAATGGGCCCAACAATGTATATCAAACTATTTAACATATATTTGTGCCTAAATTCATATTCATATGCATACCAAATACAAATATGTAGAATATATATATATTTTGTCATATCCCTGACTTGTTCGTATTCTAATTTTTTGAACAAAGTTGCGTAGTGTGCCTGTGTTCATGCTTCTTAGGTGACAGGGCATCAATGCTTCAGTTTCTATGATAATTTTAGAACTTCTAGCACGACAAAAATGAGAACCAAGAGCATCATATTTTTCAAGCAATTCTCAACTTTAACATTATAGAGTTCACCGCAACCTTGAAGATTTCTGATCCAGTATGAGCATCAACAGCACTAAAAATATCATCAAGAAGATAGATATCACAGTCCTGATAAACAGCCCTAGCAAGTTGAATCCTCTGCTTCTGGCCGCCACTAAGGTTGATCCCACGCTCTCCAATCTCAGTTTGGTCCCCATGATCCATAACTTCAAAATCCTTCTCTAAGCAACAAACTCTAATCACTTCGTTGTACTTTTCCTTATTCATTGGTGAACCAAACAAGATGTTTTCTTGAATAGTTGCATTTTGTATCCACGACGTCTGTGCCACATAACCGGTGGTTCCGCAAACTCTGACCTATAGGAACAAAAAGGAAATGTCAGGAATACATTAACATAAATTAGTCCGAGTTGCTCATTTTGGATTATCAAGTTATGCTGATATTGAGGAACAAACCAAATATCAATCAGTACAAAGACAAACTTGGTTAACCTTTTGTTTAACACTAAAAAACAGGCCTACCCATTACACTCAATGTCCAATTAACATAGGCAAAGCACATGTTGACCTAAAATAAGCTGATAATCACAATGCAGAAGTGTTGCCTCCACTTTTGTCTTCCCCCAAATAGTTCAGAGGTACTTAAAATTAAAAGATGAATCATTACCACCACAATCCTCTCCAATACATTACTTACATGTATACTATATATAGAGTAAAACCGACAAAGTATTGTAATCACATCGAATCATTAATGACTCAAAACAACATGTAATTCCAATGTTCTTGTAAAATAGTGAATAGATTGGCCTTGCAACTTACAATTTGAATAGGTCAAAATGATAACAATTTTAATATTCACCGATACATAATAGAAATTCACATTCTACTGCCATCAAATATATTTTGGTTGAAGTACAATATGATTTTATCAACTAAGTTTCAGTGGAGAAATGATGATATATGAGGAGCACACAAAACAAAATCTGCAAAAAAATTGGTTCATGATGAGTTAATAGAAGAAACGAAGGATACAGACCTTTCCTGACTTCTTGTGAAGCTCACCAAGAATTGAAGCCAATAAAGAAGATTTTCCTGATCCAACAGTACCAACAATAGCAGCAAGCTCACCTTTCTTGATTTCTAAATTCACATTTTTCAAATCTGCATTTTGACCTTCATCTTCCCACGAAAAAGTCCCACCTATCACCTCCACAGCAGTTCTACTGTCACAGCCTTCCTCTCTCTCCACTGACCTATCATCCAATTCCTGGCTTACCAAAAACCCATCCAACCTCCCTAGCGAGATCAAAGCTTGTGAAACCGAAATAAGAGCTTGAGGGAAAGTTCGGACTGGATCTTGAATAATTCTAAGAACCGTTGTTGCTGTGAACACCGTTCCAGGGTCAAGAGAGACTCCGAGCAAGATTGAAAACCCAAATACAAGTGCTGACAACACAACCGGCATGCACCAAAGCAAAATCATCGTAAAAGACATTGAGAATGTAAACTTGCTAAGCCATCCATACTCTTTATCCCGAAACGATTCAATTCTCTGATTGAAATGTTCCTCCCATGCTTGAAATTTGATCACACGCATATTATTCAACATCTCGTTAGTAGCCTTAAGCCTTGAATCGCGGCTTTTCATCACCATGTACTGGAATATATTGTTCTTTCGAGTACGGTATAAACTGAATATCATAACTCCAACAACTACAACCAATGCTGCAAGCATTGAGAGACCCATGTAGTAATAAAGGAGGGCCAACGCAACACCAAGTTGGAATGGCATTAACCATATTGAATGCAATTGCAACATCAAATCAGAGAGTTGCTGTGCATCAACAGCCATGTAATTCACAATCTGTCCGACCCCATGATCTTGCCGGGAAGAACACGATAATTTAAGACCCTTTTTGTATAAAGCTGTGATGACAGTGCACCGGATTTGCATCCCGAGTTTCTGAGAGTGGAAATTGAAATGGTGGGAACTAATGCATTCAATGATTTTCGCAACTAGAAGGATCGATACCAGATAGTATCCTTCGTTGGGGTCATCCCCTTTCCCGGAAGTGAAATCAACAAAACCATTGATTAGTACTGGACCAACATACATGACAATCAATTTCACCACAGCAAGTAAACCGGTGAAAATAATGTCCTTCCAGAAGCAACGAAGTAACGTGGTTCGCACAGGGTTCTTCGAATTCTCATCTGGTTTAGGCCAATTCATTGCAAAAAGCTCCGCCATTCTTTCAGCCCGATGCTCTGGTGAAAGTGAAGGAACATCGTCCATCTTTAGAGTGGATTTGTATCCCTTTTTCAGAATCGGATTCAACCAAAACCATGTTAGTTTAGAGAACCAAGAAGCTGTGGCATAGCCACTCACATTAGGATCAATCAAAGCAATCCCATTTCCATTTACTTGTGATCTCGAGGTTGCTCCTAATTCTTGTTCTCCAACAACAATCCCAGATGTTCCTTTAACAGCAGCAAATAAAAGAAATGCAGAAATTGGAAGGACAAAAATGGAAACTATATCATCCACTTTCATGCTGGTGTCAAAATTACTGCCAACGGTGATAAACCGGGCGATACCTGAAGCAGTGAGCAAACATAGAACAACAAAGTTTGCTACCCAATAAACCCGAAGCGACATAGGATGAGAAACAGCTTCCAATTTCCTCTCATGTGCAATTAGGATCAAAATGGAGACATGTGTTATCGCTTGAGCTAATCGAAACAAAGCTTCTATAAGCTTCCATGTGGTTTGGACACCTTGACAAACAGCTAGAATGCATAGCACTGTGTAACAAATTGCTAACAGAGCTGTTAGAACTAGACACAGGTTGAACCAAATGGTGACTCTCGGGTAGGATTTAGTGGTTTCAAGTAGGGGCTTCTTCATGGAGGAATTGGTGTTGCTATTTGAGAAGAATCTAGAACAGAGCTTTTGGAGTGAAAACACGAGAAGGGTCAATATGAATAGAACATCAATGGCTGAGAAGATTAGTCTTTGAGGACATGGTGAGAGGAAGATGAATGCCAGCCATTGGATTGCATTTGAGGATTGAGAGATTGAACATTCAGGAGATGCGAGCCAAGAGGAAGATGACATGGTTACCCACTCCATTTGAAACTTGCTCCTCATACACCAACTACTTTCCTGAAAAACAACATAAGCATGAGAAATGGTACATCTTAGAGACCTAAAATCATTATAGAATAGAGGACAACTAACAAAGAACAAAAATTATCATAAATCATCAATATTTGAAACAGGACTAAACTAAACCAAACCAAACCAAATCAAGAAATGAAATACAGATCACAAGCTCCAAAGCCCATTTGAGATGAGCAAACATGGATGCAAGAAAATGAAAATAAAGATTAAAAGGGCAATTCAGTGCATCAAACTCCGATTAAAGTGCGGGTTCTGAGTGGGCAAGATGTATGTAATCTTAACCCTATCTATTTTTATAGAGAGGCGATTCCCATTACTCAAACCCATGCCATCAAAACCCACTTAAGATGAGGAAACATGGATACAAGGAAATGAAAATTAAGATTAAAAAGTGTCACAGTGCACGAAACTGTCGCTAAAACACGATTGTATGCAGTCTTTAAACCTATATATTTCTCTGGAGAGGCGGTTCCCATCATTCGAACCGCTTCGCCAGAACCCATTCGAGATGAGCAAACATGGATCCAAGAAAATGAAAATTTGTGCACAACACTCCTAATAAAACACTGGTTTTGGACAGACACGATGTACGCACTCTTTAACCTTCATAAGTGTTGTTTCTATGACTCAAACCCGTGACATGAAATAGGCTAATGAGAAGTCTTACCTGTTAGTTGCAAAAAAATCAATCACCATTTACTTCAATGGAGCCAAAAACACTTCATTCAAACAACGAGAAGTTTGAACAGTAGTGCATCAAATATCATGTTTCAGTGACCTGAAAATCATGTTTGAAAATATAATGCAGAAAACAGAGGACAAAGAGAACAGGGAGTTTAACTGATCAATACATATAGAGGGAGCCAAAGAATCTGAAAACAATCCACTTTTGTTTCTAAAAACAAGAAAATGAAAACTAAAAAAAAACAAAAACTCAACTAAAGAGACTGTATAGAATACAATTTGAAGAAAAAAATGGAAATCTGAAAACAATCCACTTTTGTTTCTTAAACACAAGAAAATGAAAAAAAAAAAAAAAAAAAAACAAAAACTCAACTAAACAGACTGTATAGAATACAATTTGAAGAAAAATGGAAGCAAAAGCAGAGATCAATCACCTCTTATTGCTAGTTCAAAAAAACATAATAATAATAATAATAATAATTCACCTCTTATTGCATCATAATGGCCCCCAAAGCTTGAGTGAAGTCTTAGTGGTGAGAGAAGGCTTGACTCAATATACAATGGTGTGGGGTGGTGTGAAAAGAAGACACAATACAGAGGACAAAAGCTTTCTTGGTTGTAAGGGTGAAGAACTAATACTTGTTTAAAATCATATGAGTTGTCCTTTCAAATTAATATAATATTTAAAATATTTTTTATATGTATTTCAGATAATTTTATATTTTTATATACACTTCTTTTATATGTATATTAAATTAATGACCACTTATTTGGGCAAACTAGCTGTTTTTTTTTTTTGTTTTTTTTTTTTACAGAAAAACCCTCTTACTCTCCCGCAGGTCCAAGGTAGCGCCCCTTGAGGAAATCATCAGGGTGTCCTGTTGTCCGTTTCGAGTAAGAGACTATAACTTGGAAGCTTGTCCCGACCTCCCAAAACAAGCTCCGCTTAAGTCAGGATTCGCACAGCGGGGGAGAATTAAACACACACCAAGTAGCTGATAAGGCATCCTTGAGACTATAACCTGGAAGCTTGTCCCGACCTCCCAAAGCAAGCTCCGCTTAAGTCAGGACTCGCACAGCGGGGGAGAATTAAACCCACACCAAGTAGCTGATAAGGCATCCTTGAAGTCAACCTCCTAACCAACTGTGCTACGCCCAGGAGATTGACCCAGAGGGAAGTTGAACCTAGGACCTAAGGGCTTAAACCTCAGGCCTACCAGGTGTTTGGATTTGCTTGCTAATTTTACAGGATTGTTACTTCCCTTTTAGATTATCTTCTAGTCTTTTGTATGCATATTAAATTAATGACCACTTATTTGGGCTAACTAGTTGCTTGGATTTGCTTGCTAATTTTACAGGATTGTTACTTCCTTAGATTATCTTCTCTTCTTTTATATGTATATTAAGTTAATGACCACTTATTTGGGCAAACTAGTTGTTTTGATTTGCTTGCTAATTTTACAGGATTGTTACTTCCCTTTTAGATTATCTTCTCTTTTTCATTCGAAAGTTTTGATTTATTTTTTGTTTAATTTTTTATCTTACTTTAACTAAGGCCAAGTTTGGGAAGATTAAAAAAGTACACTTTTTGTCTTTTTGGACTAAAAAATTGAGATTGAAAATATGGATGTTTGGGTTAATTTTTTGACTTTTTATTGAAAAATGTGTAATAAAAAATTGTAAAAATTGATTTGTAGGAAAAATTTTGAATTGAGAGTTGTGCAGCCGTAATTGTTGGTTTTTTGACTTTTTTTGGAAGTACCCAAACTTGGCCTAAATATGATACAATCATTAAGTGCTCGTTTGGGGAGGAAAGATTTGGGCTTTTTGACTAAAATAGTCACAAAAAATAAAATTAATTTTATAGCTTAATAAAACAAAATATCACATCCAACCTATAATTATTACATTTTTTCTCTTACAAAAAAATCAAAACAGCTAAAAAAGTCTAAAGTCCTTTCCAAATCAGGCCCTTTAACCCCAAACTAAAATAGTTAAAAAAAATTAAAAAGTCAAAAAATCAAAAATTCAATCCATTTTCGAAACGAACCCTAAATATTTCTCAAAGGAAGGAGAAACAAGAAGAGATTCTAACTTGTTTTATTGGACAAAAGAAAGGGAGAAAAATAATAGAGGAAACCTTTTTTACTAATTTTAAAATATCATTTTAATCATTTTTTATTTTTTAAAATTATTTGTTTTCTCCATTACGATGCAAGAATTTGTTTTGATGATAAAGTATTACACACTTGATTTTATTTGTTTTGTATTTTAGTAAGTTCTGTTTCTAAATTTTCTTACTATTTTTCAATTTTGGTTTTGTTTATTTATATTTACATAAAAACACAATGTACACATAAATTTGTTCAAAATTATAACCCAACAAAAAAAAAAAGCCCAACTTGTCTCAAGTTGAGATCAAAATTGAACCCGTCCAGTTCGGCCCATGGGGTCCATTTTTTTTGGCCCGTTTTGATAATTCGAACCGTTCAATATGTAGAACTCGTCACGTTCTACATGTTTGTAAAAAAATCACGTTGATCGGATATCAATACCTATGTGATCAAATCAGTTTTGTATAAAAAAAATAGACGGTGAAAAAATTAACGGTTGAAAAAAAACTGTTTTGTTCACGTAGCTATCGATATCCGATCAACATGATTTTTTACAGACATATAGTACTCGACAAGTTCTACACATTGAACGGTTCAGATTATTAAAACGGGACCCGTGGTGGGTCCCCACGGGCCCAACAGTACGGTCCAGTCCGATCTTAGACTAGACCAAAGCCACTGCCAAAAAAAAACCGTCGTGGGAATAATTTTATTGTGAAAGAAATTATAACATTTTTATTTGGGTAAATTATACTAACATTCCTTGAAATTTCTGTTTAATACACATATTTCCTCACGTTTGAAAAATTATACTTACCTCCTTGTTAGATTAAAATGGCATATTTGTCCCTAAACCTTTATACATGTAAAATAATAAAATAATACTGATATTTTGTTAATGTCATTTCAAAATAAATAACAATTATCTTCTTTGATTTAACTCATACAAAAAAAATATTTTTACTGATTTTTTTTAATATTTATTAGATATACCTAATCTAGATATACTTAAGAAGTATAATATTTTGTATTTTTTTAAAATTCATTATATATAAAAAAATATAAAAATTCAGTAATACTGTAATAAATGTGAATGGCGGTGTTAGGTAATATTGTAATAAATATAGATGAATAGACAAGAAAGAAAAATGATGGCGGGAATAAAAATGAAAATTTATATTCATACATAAAAATTTATACAAAAAATATCATAAAAATATTGTGATAGTGATATTGTTGCAAACATAAATCATGTTTATGGTTGTTTTGTTTTAAAGTGAAAGGTCATCATTAAACTATATCATTTTGTTTAAAAATTTTATATAAAATTTATGTTTGTATATCATTACTCAATAAGAATATATTCAGGTAGAATTTAATAATGAAAAGTTGTAGAATATATTAATGATGATAGGAAGGAAAAATGACAAAATAGTCATTTAAAAAATTTTAGGACATGAAATAAGTAATGCATGAGGAATTTGTAATAAGATTATAAACCTCAAAAAAAATGTAATTTTTCAAACATGAAAAGGAAAATTTATATTAAACAGAAATCTTAAAGAATGCATGTGTAATTTATCTTTTTTGTTTTTATTTGTATATTAACAATTACTACAACTCTCACTCAGGATGTTTTGAAAAGATAGTTAAAAACTAATTTTTTGATTTTTCAAACTTATTTATATAAAAGGTAATGTGACCCAAAATAAATTAAAAGTTAATTTTTGACTTTTTTAACATTTTCCTAAACGGCCCCCTCAATCTCTATGCATCCCACGCCAGTCAATGGAGGTGTTTGGTGTAGCTTATTTAAGCCAATTTATAGATTCTAGTTTTGGAAAAGTTATTTTGGACTATTTGATTAAATTTATTTGAAACAGCTTTTAATTCTAGCAATTTATTTTAACTTAAAAAAACTAATTTTGAGAAGTTGGTCAACCTTTACTTCTGATTATCAGTTTCTGCTATGGACATGTTAATTTGAAATTGTACTCTTAGATTTTATTTTTTTTTTATTTTTTAAAAAATAGAAGAAGACCCAAATAGACTATGGATTATTATTATTATTATTATTATTATTATTATTATTATTATTATTATTATTTATGAGAAATGTAGGTACGTGGTGAATAACAAAAAATAAAAGTTAATTCAAAAAGTTATTTCACAGCTTATTTAACAAACACTACTCGGCAATTTAAATGTATAATCCAACAGCTAAATCAAACAAATTAACAGTTTCTGATTAAAGTTATAACCTATAATCTATTAAATTATAATTTATAATCTGTTTTAACAGTTACACCAAATGAGACCAAAAAAGTTTAAAGTTTTTTTTTTAAAAAAAAAAAAACTAGATATACTAAGGGGTTGTTTGAAATGTTCTAAATAAATGGACTTTTTGACTTTTTATGAAATATGGGTTGAGTTTGAAGTGATACGGTAGAGAGGTGACGTGATTTAAATAAAATGATATGACTTAAATGATATAATAACTTTTAAATTTTTTGACTTTTTTTAAAAATGTCAAACTTAACCTAAATAAATACGTTTAAAAAACAACTCATGCGATACGCGTGTATGGTCAAGAAGTTGTTGGGCTACGTTAAATTTCCTTTTTTATCCGATAGTAGATAAAGGTTTAATAAATTAAATTATGATAAAGGGTTACACTCACTTTATCGATTTGAATTTTAAATATTTGACTTTTTCACCGTTTTAAAGTACAATTATGTCTGCTGAGTACATTGCCCTGTTCTGGGCTATTTGAAGTATTGATTTTTTTAAATTTAAAATTTTATTTATTTACTTTTAAATAATTATTTTATTTTAAAATTTATTTAAATTATTTATGTATCATAAGTTGTAAGTAAAAGTTTTACTAAATAATTTGACGCAAATTTTCAAAAGAATAAATTATACTTTTCATTCTGATAGTATCATTCAAATTTCGCTTTGATCCCAATTACTTTAATTTGAATAATTTTATCCCTAAATTCTAAGTCTAGTTTTAATTACATTTTCCCCTTAATTTTTGTTAAATTTTTTATACATGTATACCATATGAGATTGCAATTATTTTAAAATTATTAATTTTAACTTTTAACTTGTATGAAAGAACCAAAGGGAAACTAGATTTAAAACGTAAGGATTAAACTGTCCAATTTCAAATAATGGTGATTAAAATTAAATTTGAGTCAAACTTTAAAGAATAAAAATGTAATTTACCCTTTTCAAATTATTATTTTTTTAAAAAAAACACAAATAAGAAAACAAGTATAAACAGTCTCATAAGTTGCACCATACAAGGTTATTATCAAGTGATTTTTTTATACTAGTTTTTGGAGTTGTTTATAAAAATAAAAATAAAATTTATTTTGATAATTTGTTTTAGAGTACTTGGTGTAATTTTTCTTATGATATAAAAATACATTAAATAAATTATAAAAAAAATAATTGTTTGAAATTTGGAAACTTTTAGCTTATATTTTTTTATTATCAACTTCTAATTTGAATATATAT